AGACCCGTGCAAGAGTTCTGAAAAGAACTATAAGGTCTTCATTGGCTTGAACAGCCTCTAAAAGACGACAAAGAAAAGCAGCACACTCAGCTACGACAGTGGTCATGTTGGATTGTTTTCCCGCCGTGGGCCGTGGCTATACTAAAATCAGAATTCCCCGCGAATTCCGTGACGTCATTATGCAGTCTATTCCATGGAAACTCCGGAAAACTGGAAAGGCAGAGTTTAGTTGTTTTCCGGTGACAATTAACCAACGTATTGTTATTAGCAATCATTTGTTAGTTAGCAAATGCTAAATACTTGTACGACCTGTATACATTTATACAGAATCAGGTTTCACGGTTTACTCCAGCCCCCCCCCCCTCTCCAGTGTTCTAGTCACTTGATCGCTATCACAATAGTTACCAGCACAAAAAATACTAAATGAATCCCACTTTTAAACCACCTCATGTATAATAAACCTTCCTCACGGGTGGTACCCGCATACCCGCAGCTTTTTTGCAATTCTGGTGATGTTAGGCAAGAATTAGGCCAAGTAAAAAAAATAACTTCGTTAGCGTCCTCGCCCGACCAGTGAAAAAGATCCCGACCTAATTTTTTTTTAATTTTATATAAATACCTTAGAAATCTTCTATTCCGAAAGAATTTGTCCACTTTTCTATAAATAAATCAACATTCACAGCCGGTGTTACATTTGTCAGCAGTTGCCCAGCGCTAGCCCACCATTGGTTGCTAGAAATCCTCGATATATTAAATATGCTCATAATAAGACTTGAGTTTTTATTCCTTCCCGTTTACAGCAATACCAAAAGTTATTTTTCTGAATTATTACGACGCAGTGAAGCATGGCCTTTTTTAACTATATAACTGGGGGCCCCCAAAGACCCCCAGCCACCATGGTGATCTCCACCGTTTAACCATTTTGCTTCCCCCAGTCAAAGTCCCTTTTCTCTGAAATATAAGCAAAACATTGGAAGAAAAAGGACTTTAGAAGGGAGGTTTGATATTCTAGTAACTGAAATTCGCTTTGTGAATCTTATGTCATGTCGATCTTTTTATGATTCCGAATGTCTTTTCAAAAATGCTAAACATTGAGTTGTAAATACCCAAGAATTTAAAAATTTCCCAGTGGATAGCATATCCCAGTGGAAGGCTAGGCTAAACAAGCTAGTTATTGATCGACATGTGGTATTTACATAAACATACCATGCAAGTACTATGTACAACGTTGTATATCCAAAAATCTGTTTCAGAAAACGCACGAATTCGAATGCAGACCTAGACCCCCTACCATTAAATACGACACCACACTAAACTTTTCGTCACCAAAAACCAACTTATGGTTCAGGTTTCGTCGAAAAAGGGTGCGGTGTATATTGCACATGATTCGCAAAGGGGACTCATTTTATTAATCTTCTTTGTTACATTGCTTACACACATTATTTATACATGAAAAATACTAATGTAAGTATAATTTTAAACCGTAGAAACATTTTAGGACGTGTACATTGTTTCACTATCTTTTTAAATTTAAGAATGTTGTTCTCTATATTCTTAAATGTCGTTATTTAAGCTAGTTTTAAGACATCATAAACCCACAGATGCAACTACAGTGAAACATAGCATGCAACCGTAGGGCGCTTTCCATTTAATAGCGAGACCGGTCAGACAAGAATTTCTCTCTCTGTATTAATGGTAAGATCTGGTTCAGACAAAAATCTAGTGAAAATGGGTTTCTGTCAAAATTGATCCAAATTTTCGGATTAGATTGGCCCGAAGTCCCAATGTAGTATTGTGTTCCATTCAACATTTGACCGTTCTGACAGGTCTTGCTGTGTTAATGAAAAGCGCCCGTAGATCATTGTAATGTAATTTTAACATACGTATATACAACTATTGTAACTGCGTCAAACATTAAACATACAACCGTAGGTCAAATCATTGAAGCTAACGGTCCACACTAGGAACTCTAGAAAATATAAATGATACATTGAAATCAATTACGAACGTTGACTTGATAATTCAGAAAAAAAAACTTAAGGAGGCTCCGTACAGTTTTCCTGAGGCGTATTAGCCGAATTATTCAGACGTCATTCTCGCGACCCGCGCGTACAATATTCGTACCACAAGATGTGTCACCACAGGCTTTAGGACCAATTCAATTTGACAACAATTATCTAAATAACAGTTAAAATAGAGTGTACTGCACCTTAATTATTCAATATCTTGCTTGACAGTGCTCCTAAATGCATTAATGCATTTACTATTATGCAAATGCTGTATATTTTTAAAATCCACCATATTTATTTACATTAGAACCCAAGCTTTCGCAGTTTATGGGAAATATTACGTCACACCTCTGATGTCACTTCCATGATTTGCACTAATACAGCACGATCTCTTCCCAAAATTAAGGCTACAGTATGTCTTATTTTTAATTTTTAAAAAGCGTTCAAATTAAGACACTGCCTGAATTTGAACCCTAAACCCCACACAACCCCCACTCTAACTTCTAACCCTAACCCTAATCTAATCTTGATTTGAGCCTAATCTGATCCTAATCTAAAACTGACGACCTTTTTTTCTTAAGTGTTCCCGCCCCTGCGCGTCCAGGGGAGCCAAAAGTCAAAAGAGTTTTACAATTAAGACATAGCGGCTTAAAGTGGAAGTCGGTTCTGCTCATAACAATGTGAGGAACCTCTAATGTAAACATTGCCCAAATTTCGAATGTTTCGAATTTTCTGAACATAAACTTTATTTCATATTCATTTAGAAGCATAGCAAACCAAAATGGTGTTAGATATTCAGACAGTACATCATATTAAAAAATACAGCAGTTCAAAATGTAAAATTACATACGGACTTGACTTCCACTTTAATTTTGAGAAGAGATCATGTTCACTAATAACAGGAGAGTAAGATCAAAGTGGGCGTTGTCACTCGCTAATCCAATCAGCTGTCTGGGTTCTGTACCACGTGACCTGTTCAATTCGTTCCGAGTGTGAGGAATTTTATGACAAGATGGCAACGTCGATAAAATATTCTAGGGACACGTTTGTGCCATATAAGTAAGTTGGGGACACATTTGTGCCATATATGGAGCTATCATTTCCTCTCGCTTCGAACAATGAAAAAATTGGATGATCTTACCCTCCTATTATCAGTGCAAATCACGGGCGTGACCCGCGAAAGCTTGCTGTGCTTGGGTTCTATGACAATGGCGGATTTGAAAATATCCAGTATTTGCATAATATGTAAATGTATTTATGGATTTAGATCGAAGTACTGTCAAGCAAGATATTGAATAATTCAGGTACCATACACTCTATTTTAACTGCTATAGACAGAATACTACCGTTGTCAAATTGAATTGGTTCTAAAGCCCGTGGTGGTACTACTCATCGCTACATGACTAAAGAACAGTTCTAAAGTATAAAGTATGATTTATAGTGCGACAATACAAGCGTGAGTACTGAACTGCCTGTCTATAATTATATGGGTTTTTTGTACCATTAAACTGCTATAGTTCATAAACATCATTTTAACATTCTTATAGTTAAAGGTAATAGGCCATGCAGGCATGGGCGTACCGGAAGGAAAACTTTTCTGATTCTGCCCGACTAGTACCAAAAAATTTCGGTCAGTGTACCATTTTAGGGGTCAAAAAAATTTTCAGGACAACCAATATTTTTCGGAACATAACAGAAATTTTCGAAAAATCACAAAATTTTCCAAACAAATTGACTTAATTTTAGACAAAATTGACAGAATTTGTCCCATTGTTTTTATTGCAAACCAAAATTGCCCGACTGTTGATCGAATATTGCCTGACTGCCCAAAAAACTGGGGGGGCTACCGCCCCCCCCGCCCGGTACGCCTATGCATGCAGGTATAGAGAAAACTCTGGAGAAAACTGGAAGCTCATGCAGAAAACAAAACTTCAGTCTATTGTCATTTTCAAAAGTACTAATGGAAACTCCCTGCAGTCAGGGCCTTTTTTAACTTATTCACTAGATGAGTCGGATTTCTTTGAGGTACCGCGAGATGTATACAATTACAGGTTACAACTCGTGAATAAATCAGATTAGATTAAACTTGTCAAAAAATCTTGATTGATCTTTAAAATTGATGAAACCTTGTTCAAAAACCTCCTCAGCTAGTATAAATAAGTCGCTTATAAACGTCAAACGTGGGAAACCTCGAACTTGCGAAAATGTTCTGGGAGTAGAACCCCTCCCCCCCTCACCATAACAGTCGCGTCTTTCCAATTCCTAAGCTCTTTTCTAGGCTAGTACAGAAGACTCATTACAATCAACATTACAGTACATCTCGAAGACAACTTGGAAAAAAACGCTAATCAATGTGACGAAAATGATTGGAACTATAAGGTACAGTTTATAATAACAGGGCATATACTCAGGGATTTGTGCTGCGGTTGGATGGTCAGCGAAAAGGGCCTGACCTCAGCTGCTCCGTTCTGCAACCTGATTGGTCAATGACTTGAAACACTAATTATTATATGTCGGAAGAATTATAATTTGTAGAAAGAATACGCATTGCCATTGACAATTTTATTCTTACTGAGAATAATGATTTGTAAATTTTTCGTAAGAAATTTTAATTCTTGAAATTTTATCTGCAATTGAACATGTATTATGCAAGGCAATAACAAAACGTTTTGGCTGTTGTGGCGAAAATTTTGTATTGACGAGTCACCCAAATATTTTCTTCTGTCGATCATGCAATTTTCGCATGCATCGCGTACATGCATAAACATCAAGATACGTACGGCGTTACAGTAAATAAAAATTCTGTTTCCAATATAAAAGTTCATAACGTGGTTTACATATAAAGGCGACTTTGAAAGCTCTCCTAAGTGGTTTGTGAGTCAGTGTAGCTACAATTTAAAATTCAAATCACAGCTAGGCTACTAGGATCTGAATATATCTTCATTATCAGTGACATTATTGCTGCATGTATTTGATATTTTAGCTTAAAATGGTGTAAATAATTAAAACCTTACATTTGAACCAGGGCGATCACGATGCTTTTCCATTTTTCAAGTACGACGTCTGACTCGTCCCCGCTTCCACTGCCACTACCACTCCCACTTGTTTCCGTCATAGTTTAAACAGCGCACTAGCTGGCTACATGCAATCTTACATGAATGAGAGTATACAAGACTGGTATGTTATATAGGAGCAGTTCGCCGAGTTAAGCGGTACATGATATCTGATTAAGCTAAGTAGCGCATCATTACAAGATTATGAATTCAAGGATCTAAGTTTGACCACCGTCATAGTTAGCGGATTACAAATGTACAGTTTGTTTTCCTTCCTTATTAATTATATCTTTATACTTTAAACTATCAGCACGGCAGTTGTTTAAACTACTCCTCTGGAACATTGCCACTCACCTGGAGATCCACTTCACGTGCACTGTGTATTAAGATTTACCATTTGGCGTAAAAAAGTTCTATGGGACTATGACCATATGTATATTGATTTCCCAAATCGTTAATTTCCCAAATTGTCTTACACTGATAAACGTGCATTAATCAAGTTAAATTTAATTTCCGCTGACGCTGTGCTTGAATCATTATCATCATTTGTGTTCGAATCGTTATCATCATCTGTGATACATTTATTAGCTTGTCTTTGCACGCTATTTGAGATTTTCAGTTTGACTATATATCTGTCTCAAATTTCAATTAAAACACATTTTTCTGTGCTGAATTTTTCAGTCACTTGCATAGTTGCATTCAGCCATTTGTTTTATCTTATCGAATTACTTACTACAGTATAACTGACATACTTTATATAAAGATTCATTAATTAAATCTAAACAGGGCGTATATGCCTATGAGACGCATCAAATCATTTCAACGGCCCCATTTGCTTACATTTACATTAGCCGTTCTTGAGCATTGCTTGAATATCTGTAGTTAAAGCAATAAAAGCATCGTTATCTGCAGTCAAACTTAATTGTTTTAAGCGGAACCTCTAGTTTATAATAGGGGGTCGTTTTGTGTCCACTTAATGGTGGTGCCTCCTTAAATAAATCGAGATCCTAGTCACCAAGTTACCATACTACTTAATGCCAATCAATTAAATGGGTGAAATAATTTGTGGTAAAATGTCCACATAAATTTACTATAATTATTCAAGACTGTTTCGGCGAACCGCCCAGTGACTGCTTGTTCGAAAGCTTAAAAATAAAGGCCGTTTTCTATCATGGTCGCCTTGCTTGCGCTGGACTTTTAACCGTGGCTGGACATAGTTAATATACCGAGCGACCTATACAAGTCACGTGTGCAATGGTCACGCGTGCACGCGGCGCCAAGAAGTTGAATGCAGTTCATCTTTCATAGCACGCACGCGAGGGCTAAGTCCATTGACACAATGCAATTTGTGCTGCAACATGAAATGCAATTTCTGACACGAAGCAATGTTATCCTATTAACTATAGTCGCAAGGAAATTGTGCAGCATCGCCCAAATTCTCCAATGACAATATTTCAATACATAACATACTCTTATGGGATAAAAATGGAATGCAAATGTTGGCACAGTAAACCGTAAGCCATGCATGTTCATAATTTTCCTTAGCAGGCTGAAAACTGTCAAGCTGGACAGCTGCAGCTCATGCTATTACCCTATGCCTGGGTCAATGAAAAACGTTAAAGATATAACGTTTCACAAGCAGATTGTTTATAAACTTGAAAATGCTTTTTCCACAAATCTTGTTTGGACCATATAATGCATGATAGGAGTTATATTTCCTACAGTTTTGAAACAAAACATGCAGCGGGTTAAATATTAAACCAGGTCTAAAAAGTAAAGAGATATATATATATTATGGAAAATCGTGAAATAGGCCTACAAGGCACGGCAAGCAGCCCAAGGACAAGTTAAGTTGGTATTCATATTTGTTTATGTATCTGTTGCATGTAATAAAGTGTCTATACACTGTTCCTATTATCAGTGCCGGTGTAACAAGGTTATCACTGGTACCACTCGGCCAGCAGTTTGATGATTTGAAATACTTCATCGGTTCCAGCAATGTTTTGAAACTATGCATGGCTGTTAGGTTAACAAGGTCGTATAGGGATGCTGTAGCATGTATTGAAGTGGCACTTATGGAAGAATCAGGCACAGTGTGCAGTAATTATTGAGGTAGTATTATACAGGCATATGAAATTTAGCTGAAAGTATAAGATTTTTTGCGCCTGAACGCATACCTTGGACAGTAGCCTTAAGGTTTTTTTCCTAACCGCACGGCTTAATTCATTACGTCAATATTGACGTACAGGAAAGTTTAAATCCATTTACAGGTCACTGCTTTCACCTTATTAACTTTCAAAGAACTCATGTCAACCTTCACGCTCTTTATAATAATTTTTGTTTGACTTTTACATGCAAAAATAAATAAATTGATTCATAATATAGTGAGGTGTATAGAAAACCTAATCCTTTGTACTCTAGTATATAACGCTATCTTTAGACTTCCAAGGTATAGTCAAACACCTCGCGTGACAATATTATTTACATCTCACGCGATGACCCATGGTGAGTTCACCCTCGATCATGATCCGACTGAATTTTCTAGTCAGCAGTCAAGTGCTCTGGCTTATCTTTTCCTGCATTCTAATTGCATGTACAGTTTACCAGAAAATACTTATTAATCTTGTAAACTTTCTCACAAACTACTGTGGGGTGTTTTTGCCATTTAACTAGTCACAGAAACACTTGAAAAATCCCGACGCTCACTTCCGCATGACCACTAAACTGTCAAAACCATAAAACCTGGCTTCTTCTTTACCGTGGCTTTCACGAGAATGTCACAGTAATCGTGGTAACAATACTGATAACATCATTGCAATCAAAGCATGACGGATTTGAAAAAAGCAAACAAAAGAAAAATAGGGATAAGCTATTCATATCATTAACATAATGCCTTAATGGTCATCAGCTAGCTTGACCCTATCTGGGCTTATTAATTTAGCATTTACTGAAGAAAAAACCATGTATCGTCAGTGATGGCACTGATGCTCGAGAAAATCTCGAATATAACAGTTCACAGATATTTCTCAAGCATTAACAAATCAATATATGGGCACTGCATGGGCAGAACACAAAAGTACTCAGCATTGTATCGCAACATTCTCTAAAGTGATACCACGGTAATAAAAGTCCATAAATTCAGTTTTCAATTTATTTTTAATATTGATATTTTGCTCTTTCCGTTTCATATTTATTTTGGGACTATAAATTACTCCTGATTTCTATTTTTGTCGTAATTTTTTATTCAGTTTATTTTTTGCGATTTTCGTGAGAGAAGCGAGCTCCATGCATGTTTGCACGCTTCTCGCTTTTCCAAATCCCGTGACCTAGACGCCAGTGCGTTAATCGGATCATTCAGCGGATATATTTGATCAAATTCAGGTTAATATACACTTATTGTCTGCTCCCGAGGCCGAGGAAATAGTTTTGCCTCCCGAGAGCTTATATAGCGGCGAAGAAAAATTAAACAACTTTCACAAAACAATTATACTCATAATAATAAAACTCTTTAATGTAAATTATTTTAACCGAATAAAAGAACCTGCCACTGACTGAAAAGCATTTCAGCAGCATTTCGTGTTGCCTGTTAAGTATTTTTGAGTCCCTGTTAGATATTGTATTCTTTTCATAAACTGGCAAAACGTTCTTTCTAAACTCCTGATTCCATTTTGAGCATTTATGCTATAGCCTGTCGGAGCGGTTACCTAAATCCACGCGTGACCACAACTTAGCCAATCACTGTTCGGTATATATAACAAATAGCAATACTGTCAACACTGAGGTCACTAGTTGTTTTTTACTAGAAATAAGAACCAGTTAAGAACCAACTCAACCTGATCATCACTAAAGCCCTGGTCAAACGAGAATGAGAGTTGATAAGTGTTGGCAGGGCATCGTTTGACATATAGACTGGGGGGAAGGCCCCAGCCCCCATGTTGGTCCCCCCTGTTAACTGTTTTGGCCCCCAGTCAAAATCACTTTTTTAAAAGATATTGACAAAAAGTGAAGAATAATTTAATTCACGAGAATAATTTAATAGAGAGAATTTAATTCACATTAGCAATTATTCTCACTCAGTTTAGTGCATTTGTTTCATAAGGAAAACTGGAAAACAAAATTTGATATTACTTTGACGAACGTCAATATATCTATTTGCGTTAATGGACATTAGTTCCTTTCAGGTCACATACTTACACAGTACATGTTGTGTATTTAATGTTTTGATACTACTTTTGGTGAATAAAGTTTGTATTTTTTGTGTGTTTTCCTTGTTTTTATCTGAAATACAAGTACAGTTAGCACCAGGGTTAGCACAAACCTTAGAACAAATTTGAAGGCCCAGAATGCAGGAAATGGCGTTTGCGGACTACAGATTTCAAATATTTTCTGGGAGACATGCCCCCGTACCCTTCCCCTACTTCGTTCCGCCGGTGAGAGGACCCTTTTTGCCAATGCCACCCCCTCCCACCCACTCAAAAATCCTTTAAAAATGCCCTGAGTGTTGGGAAGCGAGATTTTACATTAGAGTTTTCACAACTCTCATGTCGCGGTCAAACGAGAACAAGAGTCGCATGAGAGTTGGTGAGAACTGACTGGATACCGCGCGCATAGCGAAACTCTCGTCATGCAACTCCCATCAAAATTTCAACCAGTTGTAAGTGGACATGAAGAGTTGATGAAAGTGCATGAGAATCGATGGAAGTTGGCGGTCAAACGCGAGCGAGAGTTGCAGCTCCATCAACTCTCATCCTCGTTTGACCGACGCTTAAAAATACCTAAAATAGTGGTTCTGTTATGTGGGATTTTACAATACTCAATTACTCATTTTCCGAATTATACCGTTGTTCTGTAAATTTGTACAACTGGATTGTAAAATAAAACAGACAGACTCAGGGGCGGATCCAGGGGGTATCGAGTGTAGCTCAAGTTACGGTCAGATTTTTCCGATTGTGCATACTAAAATAGTTTTGGGGGAAAATTCAATATTAATATATTTTCACGCAATTCATTTCTGTTTACAAAAGTAGTGAAAATTTGAGTTTACTAAGATGAACGAGGGCAAATTCTTTCGTAAATTTTTAAATTTACAGCTCTAAATATAACATTAGACGTTGAGCCGAGAGCTTTCCGAAGGCATAATCCGACGTTACGTAACCCGATCGGGAAAATGTTTTCAAATGCGTCTGCGGTGTTCTGATACGGTCCGCGGTTCAAATGTTACTAAAAATAGTAACTTAATGAGGTATTTGGATACCTTGGAGGGTATCCAGCCAGTCGCAGGACGTGTATCTATGACGTCGGATACCCTCCGATACTGTGGCCACAGAATAGATAATAGGACCAGAAGTCTTACTCATGCGGAACATGTCCCATCTTTTATACTGCGCATGCGCGAGCTAAACAAGTGTAATGCAGTGTTGACAATAAAAACAGCTTTTTTTCAAGTAGTACGAAATGTGACTTCGATTTACCTGTGGAACTATTTGAACAGAAGGTAAAGCAGTAATTTTGTTGTATTTAGAAAGCAAACAGGGTCATATTTTTAAAAATATAGCGCACTGAATATAAATTTGAGCATCATTAAAATGTGTTCGCTATGATGCCATTTTGTCTCCGGTATACAGTATACGGAGTTCTGCTTTTATACTTGTGAATATTCGAATTTATTTGGCTCAAAAACACCATTACTTCAATATCCCTTTCTTGTTTTTCCTTGGATAGGTTTTAACGAGATAGAACTCGAGATCACTTGGGTCCAAAGACGCTAGATTATAAAATCCTGATGTGACTTGATACTACAAATAGAATATGTCTTATATTTAATACTACAAATAGAATGTCTTTCAAGTACAAACTTCAATGAATTGATAAAGTATAAGGATAGTGTTTAAAGTCGCTTCATGTGTAGAAGCTGAATTACTTTAGTTTATACACTGTATATTGTCAAGATCACATGTTGATATGACTTACTAGCAACTTACTACAGACTTACTACTTGTTTATAATACTTTAGAGTTTGGACATTAGAACATTGCAATTGCCTGACAGAGACTGTTAGGGCCTGTTTGTATGGAAGCCGGGCTGGCCCGCTTAGCAAGACAGCCCGGTAAGGTATAGGTAAGCAGGATGATTTCTCTTGTGTTTATTTGAGAAAATTTCATTCCGCTTACCGGGACAATTTTGTTGTTTTCATTGACATTATTTTGACAGTTGTTAAAAATAGCTTGCGGCAGTATCTTTGAACTTTCATCCCGGCAACCGGGCTAGCCTGCTTATGATTGTTTATGTGGAGAAATTTCCATCCTGGTCTTGGCAACCGGACCTGCCTGCTTGTCCATAGAAATGATAATTTGTACTATAAAAATAACTAGACAGTGAGATCTCACTTACCGGGCTGTCTCACTTAGTGGGCCAGCCAGATTCGATATAAACAGGCCCTTAGACAACTGCTAAAAGCTGCAAGTTTTAAAGTAATATCATCTATATCACAGAATACTGTTTCTGTAGTGACATACTTTGTGTTTTTTCTGTCTTTAATGTGTCTTATGTTTGTAATATTTTTGTACAATACCTTTTTGAAATTGTTGATACTGGTCTCATTGTAACTCTTGCTCCAGCTAGTTTTTACATTTACATGGTTCATGTACAATTAATGCACATTTAAATTAGCTTTGTTCAATGAATACAGGTGCGATTCAAATATCATTCCTGCAGGCCTTAAAATATCGGTCGGTCACGGACATTGTCCGACCCATTCGTGAAATTGTCCGACGTAGAGAGGAAACCACCGGACATTCTGTCCGACCAAAGTGAAACTAAGGTTTATTGTTTGTCCGACCCAAGTGAATTGGTGTCCGACCGAACTGTAGCTTTGTCCGACGTAAATCAAAATGTTAAATGGAAAATCAAAGTACTATTGTATAAAAGGTGAACTGGAAATGTTGTTTTAACATAGTCGAGCGCGGGGCGGCGAGCGAAATGGTGAAGTGGAAAACGGGCTTAAGTTGTCGAAATCTTTTTTAACACTGCTGTTCTGGCAAGCAAGCTAATTTTGGCTTGGAAATAAATATGAAAGAAACAAATTATTTAATATCTTTACAACATTTACCGTTTATTCATTGTGTCATTCAGACTTATTTCCGAGCAAAAACTGAACCGAAGGTCATCGGACATATGTCCGACCCAAACTCAACGTCACCGGACATTTTGTCAGACGGCCTTGTAAAAGATATTTTAAGGCCTGATTCCTGGCAGGTACTTGGGTCAAATAGACATAAGCATACCAAATCATGCTGTGGATTGAAATACAAGTATAGGGTGTGTATTGTTTAATAAATATATTTACCAGTGAACCCAGTAAGCTGCATTGTGCCCCCAATGCACCCTACTTTACTATTTTATTTCACTTCGTAAACAATCTCGACCACAATTTGTAACACACGGCGTACCTCAGGGATCTGTATTGGGCCCTATATTGTTCCTTCTGTTTGTCAACGATATTCCCCTTCATGTTTCAAATTCGAACTTAGATATATTTGCAGATGACACAACGTTATCAGCTAGTACACAGTGGACAAATATCCCTTCAATGGTTCAAGATTTGAAAAAAGACCTCGATAGTATATGTAATTGGTCCATTAACAACAAAATGGTCATCAATACGGAAAAGACCAAATCTATGCTTGTTACCGGAAAGCGTTTAAGGAAGAAAATACCAGACGAACATCTTCAAATGGATCTTGCTTTAGGAAGTACGACAGTATCCCAAGTAGAAAGTCAAAAACTCCTTGGTGTTATAGTAGATCAAGATTTAGCATATGAAGATCATATAGACAGTCTATGTAAACAGATCTCAAAACGACTCGGTCTGCTGAAGCACATCAGTCCATATTTAAAAAAACAACAAAGAGAAATTTATTATAATGGGATCATTAAACCGAAGCTTATGTATGGAAGTGCTGTATGGTCATGTTGCAGTAAAGAGAATCTTGACAGAATACTGAAACTACAAAAGAGGGCAGCAAGGATTATTTTAAGCGTGGAAAAGACAACGCCTTCGAAAACTCTCTTCAATGGGTTAAATTGGATTCCTTTCACTGATGAACTATTTATTAGAAGAAGTAGTATAGTTTACAAACGCGTAAAAGACTCATACAACTGTCCTATATATATTAATTCTATGCTGGTGAGAAATTCTGACATCCACAATCGAGAAACACGTTTTTCCAAGATTAACATGATATGCCCCCGATATAATCGAATAACGGAAGGTGGAAAAACATTCGCAGTGAGGGCTATCAAAGACTGGAATACTATTAATGTAAAAATCAGGAATTCTGCAAGCCTATACAGTTTTAAACATAGATTATACAAGGACTTTTTAGATGCTCAAAAACTTTCCTAATTTTAAAGTACTTAAAACAATTAACTTTAATTGTAGTTATTATAATGATTCTTCACTTCATGTATATATATATTAATATCCTTAGACTTAGAAATACTGTAAGAATGCTACCAGAGGACCACGGAGTTATCAGTATTCGTACTGTCAAGTGTTATCCTCTATAAATAAAGTCTCTTATCTTATCTTATCTTACTTCATCTAATGCCAGATGATTTTACTTATCAAGGGAGAGTGCTGCTGCTCATTGAGCTCTGATTGAGTTCACTGAGTGGCAGCACTTTTCCCCTTGCATGACGAGTGAAATTGTCTGGCGTTAGACGGAGTAAAATAATCTTGCATTCAATCAAGCAGCTACTTTTTCAAAAGCTCAACCAGGCTAAAGATTCTTTGATTTGAAAACCAAATATAGTGAACTAGTTAGTGAACTAGTTAGTTGAAACAAACAGAATTGTTTGATTTATTTACTTTCCACAACATTGACAATTAAAATTTAATTTGATACTTTTCTAGTATATTGACATTATATAGGTTCAGATTTGACTACCATTACCATTACTGTCGTTCCAATTGAAGTGTTCCTCAAATATTGATTCAATACATTACCTCGGGCTGACCAATTCATTTCATCAAGTTCCTCGAAATATTTATACACTTCCTAGTATAATTGTAAACTTCCTGTTGAATAGTTTGAATGCACCAATCACCTTTGTTGTTTGTGCAACTAACCAATCATAAATAGAAAGGAAGTGACCAAATATGATCAAATTCTTGGAATTGGCTCTTTCACAGGAAGTGTATGAATATCTCGAGGCAACCTCGTTCCCAGGCTCTTTGCTCTTGGGAAGCAAAGACCCTGGTCGGGGCTGATGACGTCACACATACAAAATTGATAGCCGAAGGGGGGGATGGAAAAGTCTCATATTACATGTTTCCACTTCCGCACTTCGATTGCAAGGAGTGGCCGTTCTGTACAATCATCTAATTCATCTTCAAGAATCATATATACCTCAAACTACTTGCTGAATTGGTTTCTGTTTGCTTTGAAATTATACAAACATGCTAAAATGTAGATTCTTATAGCAACAGAAAATTCAGGAAATCAAGCAACGAGAACGTATGGCTGTACGCTTTGAAATATTTTTATTTTCTCGGACTTCGCCGGTTCGGGCGTAGTTTCATTTCACGCGTACGTTTCTGTTCTGGCTCTGATATTTATAATATGCTTATAATATGCCAATGAATTTTTCTGATATGGACACGGTATAAAATTTTTTAAACAGATGTCTCAAAAGCGACTGTTTATAGGTCGTAGGATTAGCGCCTTGCCGGTCTTAAACGTGACACATTTGGACACAAGCCAAATACACATTGAATGTCCATTTTATTGATTCTAAAATTGTTTATAGACATATTGCTCTAGCTTTTTTAAAAAGGTTATCATCGTTTATGTTAAACACCAGGAAGACAAAATATAACGTACAAAATTGTTTGAAATCGACAGTGGGTGTCAGTGCACAGCTGACATACGACAATTCACAACTGCATGAATTTCCTTTTTTGTCGATCTGCACGAGTACCTGTTTGTTGAAGCCAAAATATTGCACAGCATATCCTATAAATTCTATCGCCATTTACCCTCCCCCCTTAAATGCAAAGGAATGACAGCAGAAAAGGTTTAGCAAAGTATTTTTTATTACATCTGGTATAAAGTGTCCTACGTTTTATCAGGATATACATAATTCATAAACTGTATATGCACACGAAGTAGACCTCGCTTATTAATGAGTTTTACTGTAACAAACCTTTTAAAGTTTCCATGGATAGATAGGTTGTTTGCCTCCAGTATTGTTTGGTAAAACAGACTAAACTTCTAAAATATTGGTTACGGAATACGCCGATAAAGATTAAAGTTGATTTAAATATTGATAACTCACAGCGGCATTAATCCATTATACAAGTCTCAAGAAGCTGGATTATTCTTCAATAAAGCCCTCAATGGACAATGCCAATGTCAATGAAAGGTCTAATATTATACATGTTGCAAATTACTGTATACACAAAATATGAAATAATTTATATAAAGTACAAGGTTTAGCGGGGAAAGTGGTCAGTTTTGATTATAAATTTGTCCCCGATGATGGGAGACTTGGACAGTGGTTAACATATATATCCTGTGTTGCTGTTTTAGTTTTCTTGACAAGAAAAGTTTAAATACAATAACATAAATGAATTTGATTTTCTATTGCTGATCTATGATTATACAAAACTATTTTCCTGGGGTTGAGAGACATGCAGGGGACATTGATGTCCCTGGGGGCGGGGCCAATTTCGCTCTTTTACTACCCCTCCAAGTCAAAATCCCTGCCCTTCCCCAGTTGGGGGGTTTACGTTGACTGGTGCATTAATTAAAGAAGTGTCAGTGCCACATATGTAGTAAAAGCCAACTTGTCAGTAAAGGCCACAGAGCAAGATTGTATTTCAAAGACTGTCAGTGACAAAAACAATTGATAGTCCTGAAATAGAGTATGCCAACAGTTAGTATACTGCAAATAACTATTCTATCAACAAGATAAAAATAATGTGTGTGTTTTACAAGTGTTTTTCATATATCAATCCAATGGCATGTAACCTAAAATTCAGCAGTGTCTGTGTAATGAAATACACCCTTACTTCTCAAATATGGTCAAATTAACTATACTACATTGTGTATAATAATATATGGACTGGTTCAAAAATATATTGAATTTATATTAGTGAACTGGTGAGCTATTGATGTAGAGATTATGCCAAGTATAGAATGGCACAAGGATTTTCATGTTATCAGCATGATTAAATCGTGAGATTGTGCAAATAATCTGTGTAAATCTCTTAGAGATATCCTCAGTAGCTACATTTTAAGGTAAAATGACTATGGTAAAGCTATTCAAGGCAAAAAAGCAATGGATCTCGTTGTCAACAGTAAATTTAGCTACGTTTATGATCCATTTATTGCCGTATTTCAGCTGAGAATTCATTTAAGACAATGCAGTACGATAGACTTACCTTTGAATTTATGATATATTCTTTTAAAATGGTCACCAAAATTCTAAAACTCGATTGGTATCGGCTTCCTCACTCCTTAATGTTTACATGTAAATTTGTCAAATTACACTTGTTTAGGGCACTGGAAACGAGACACGGCCAAGATGCGCGAGGCGACATGCGCGGGGACATCAACATCAAAGATTCCGACATCGAGTGAGACTTCTGGTCTTATTACACTGACCTGAAAGTCAAGTGTCTTAAATCCCTAATTTTCTGTTTTCTGTTTTCGTCGAGAAATGGAGTTTGCGTTAGCGCATCGCAGGCTCAGGGTGCAACGATTAAGCCAAAATGCCATCGATTCTTCAATTCCACGATTTATATATGATAGTAACGAGCTCGTATTTATGTACGTAATAGCCGGCTCATGTCATGCTTGTGGTACATTTTCGTTTATTAGCACATATATAGACTTGTACGCACGCGCACAATTCCGAACTCCAAGTGTGACATATTCAGTCCAGTTTCAAAATGGCAGCTTTTGGCTGAGTGATCAAAATATATTTCACACAGTTTCGTTGAATTTTCGAAGAGTTGTGCCGGTTTCCTATGGATTTTACGTTGCGTCGCACTCTGGACTTTCTTGCGTGTTGAATTAATGTGTTTTTCTTTGTGTAACGACTCGAAAACCCCAAAATTTGGACCAGCGAATTTTTAAGATACAATGTAGTGGGATTTATTATATAAGTATTGAGATTTACTCATCGAAATCGCAGTGCGTAATAATCGTTCCAAATTAGCAACAGCCAATCAGCAACGAGAACGATGAAATCTCACTAGTGAAAAATCATCGTTCGCCGTTGTTGATTGGACGAACGATGGTTTTTCACTAGTGAGAAATGATCGTACGGGAAAATACGTCATTTTTCATTTGGCGCGGAATTGCGAATTTAATTATTTAAAACAACAAAATGGCTTCGCGATTTGTTGACGCCGGTTCTGTTGACGACTTTATTTTGGAACAGGAGAACAAGAGCACGGCGCAAAAAACACAGCGTGATGTTAAATTATTACAACTATTTTTGGTGAACAAGAACGAAGAAAGAAACATTGAAGATATCCCGATAGGAGAACTAAACGAATACATGTCTGACTTTATAATTTCGGTCAGAACCAAAAACGGAAAAGAATACGAGCCATCTTCTCTTCGGAGTTTACTGGCAAGTTTCGAGCGGCATCTTAAGAGGAAAAACTACCCTGCTAGTATTATCAATGACTTGGCATTCGAAAAGACAAGAAAAACTCTCGAGTCCAAGCAAAAACAATTAAAAAAACAAGGAAAAGGAAATAAACCAAACGCTTCTGTGGCTTTAACTACTTCGGAACTAAATACGTTGTATGAAAAAGACCTTCTCGGTACACGAAGTCCTGAGTCGCTTTTAAACACACTCTGGTTGAATAACACTATGCATTTTGGACTCAGAGGTTGCAAAGAACACAGAGACATGTGTTGGGGCGATGTTAAGTTGAAGCAAACAGCAGACGGTGAGGAATTTTTAGAATTTAATGAAAGACAAACCAAAACAAGAACCGGTTCAGATTGCCGTGATGTCAGAAAAATGGCGCCTAAAATGTTTGCTACTGATGGGTCGGAAAGAGATCCTGTCGTGGTCTACAAACTTTACGAGCGGAAGAGACCCGGAAAAATGAACGAGGATGATTCCCCTTTCTACCTAGCTGTGAACAACACATTAAAGAAAGAGTCGCTTCAAACGAAAGAGTGGTTCAAGGCCGCTGCTGTTGGAATAAACAAACTGAACAGTCTGATGAAGACAATGGCTCAAAAAGCAGGAATCAACAACGAACGACTGCGAAATCACAGCGGGAGAAAAACAATGATTCAAACACTTAGCGAAAATGATATTCCCCCGACACATATCGCTCAACTGTCAGGGCACAAGAATTTAAAAAGCTTAGAAAGCTACAGCAAAGTGTCGAGCAAACAGGAAATGCAAATGTCCAAAGTTCTCAGTGGCTATACATCTGGTAGTGCAGCAAAGACATCGTCTGATAAAACAGTAAATTCACCACCAACTTGCTCGCCCATCTCCGAAGCACAACAAGCTATGGCTTTATTCAGCGGAGCTGTCATTAAAGGCGGCAATTTTTCCATTAACATAAACACAGTAAACCAGTCGCCCAAGCTCACATTGGAACAAGAACCAAGCCAAAATTCCGCCAAAGATGAAGCGTTGTCAAAATGGAAGAGACTTAAACCTTTAGAGGACAGTGACGATGAGTTTTAGACATTTTTATAAACATTTATAGCCTTTGAAGTATTTTTAAAATACGTGTTAATTTAATATTTTCTTCGCCTTGAAATTCTTACAATCAAGTTGTGTTGTTGTGTTCTGAAAATAAAAAGTTAATTTATGCAACCGCAAATGCTGTTAATAATCTACTATTATTAATCATTTTAAAATATGCATTTTCTTGAGTGAAATCTCAATACTTGTAATATAAACAAATAACATCATGGTTGGATCGCGGGTACGGTTTTTATTCACTCGTTAATTATTACAGGCTCACTCGTTCGCTGCGCTCACTCGTTCGCCTGTAATAATTCACTCGTGAATAAAAACCGTACGCGCTCGCCAACCATGAAGTAATCTCTATTTATAATATACGGAAAAATGTAAACTAGCCATACATTTCGCCGAACATATAAACTTCGGCCCCTTTGGACATATCTTTTTCGTAATAGTATTATTGGAACCAGAATCCAAGGTTGACAGCTTGACTACACAGCGTAGTTTTAATTAAACAAAAATATCTCCTAATTTCTTACGATAGTTTTAGCCAAATGTCGACAATATACCTTACATGTATTAAAATTCGCGCAGTACTAAAATTCGTGTAGCGCTGGGTGCGCAAATTTTAGTACTGCGCGAAATATAATCCGCGCAAAAAGTTTTGTGGTAGCTACAGTAAAGATAAAGCGCGCGTTCAAAATACCAACAAGGACTAATACCGACAAAAACATTTATTGTATGGTTCTCATTTGCCTAATACAATAACATTTATAGTTCGACGCGAATTTTAATACAAGTAAGGTATGGTATCATATTTCATAATATAAGGAACAATGTAAACTAGCCATACATTTCGCCGAACATATAAACTTCGGCCCCTTTGGACATATCTTTTTCGTAATAGTATTATTGGAACCAGAATCCAAAACACTATTTATATAGTGTTATTTTCAAGCTTGTGTCTTCAGATTTTCATCTTTTATTTCGGTATTTACAGAATATTTATATTTCTAGCGCCGTCCATGAAACGCAGGCGGTGTGCGCAATACGACCGCAAAGCAGTATGGGAGCACAATTTATAAATTTTGCGAAGGAATGTTAATTCACCTTCAGTTATGGGTAAGTTTAGCATTTATTTTATTCTTATTTCCTCTCATTTTGATTACGTTTTGTATTATTATATCGAAAAGGAGTGTTTGGTGTTAATGTGTGCCTAAAATCATTCACGAAAACTTGATTGTGTCGAAAGATATAGCCGATTGAACTGCCACCCATATTTGGCATGTTTCGACGTGGTGTTTGAGTAGCGTTTTTATATTGCCAGAATATCCTTGCACGATTAGAAATCAATAGCATTTCCTTTGTATACTTGTTTTTTAAAGCATAAACTATCCAAAAATCACATCGCACCCCATCGCACCTCGTACGGTTTGTCTGCAATTTTTGAATTTATAATGCCCATTTTAACAGGTAAATGATACATTGACACCGTAAACAAAATGGCTACCAAGAGGCGAGAGACGCTTCGAGCTGTCAACTGGCGACAGTTCAGCGAAGCCAAAGTTGGCTTTACGTGAAGGTAGTTCGAGGAAGAGCCTTTTCCTAACAATTTCTCAAAGTTCTGTATCCAGCAGGAATGAAAATCCAGTGTCATGGACTAAACAAGAAACTTGTATGCTATTTATAAATAAATACAGTATATATGTCTGTATTGGAAAGATCCCTGGAACGACAAATGGCCAACAACCAAAGATAAAGAGGATATGCCCAAGCAGTAAAAAATGCATGTAAATCCCAACGATCAGGTATGGTATTCGAATCATATTATTATTATTGATTTAAATTAAATCAACTAACCGAGCATTGAGTGCCAGTGCCCCTCCTTGACAAGTAAAATCAGAGTAAAATAATAAAGAAGGGCACATTAGGATGGAATGTAACTTAACAGATTAAATTCATAATATAATTTCAGGCTGAACACATTTGCAGGCTGAAACATTTGTAAACAACAAATGGAAATTGAGTTGACTGCATCTTTAAACAACAAGCTCCCAACAATGTTGTGATTAAATTTGACTGATAAATTAAATGCCATTTATATATTCTTATATTTCATTAATTAAAGCAAAATATTTTAATTGTTCTAGGAGGTTCATGTAGAACCCGAGTCCTAAAAACCTTGGCGAAGAATGTGGTACATTGAGTGATGCAGAAAAAGATTTTGAAATTGACTATGTACATGATTCTGTTGGCTCAGCTATTCCTGTGCCATCAAGTCCTGCTGCTGTGTTCAATTTTAGTGATAATCTCTCACCAATTTTCAAAGAGTCACCATGTAAGGGCTCAGCAGGAAATAACTCAGGTACTCTTGGTGATATTGTCCAAAATCTCATCACAGCCTTAAGTCCCAAAGATTAAAGGAACAATTATTGAACTATTTATAAAAGCTTTTTTTATTGAGCTTGGAGGCATGCATGGCTTTATACCAATTTGTGCAGGCAGATTTTCTGGACAAAAGTTTAAATGCCATGAAAACATTGCAAGAGGGCAAGAAAAACTTGCTTTATGGTATGTCATGGTGCTTTGAGAGATGAGAAGATGGCACACCTGAGTGGCTTTGCCACCAGTGCCAAAACATATGTAAGCACATTGGTCAAATTTAGAAATATTTCTCCCACTCATGCGGGCTCGTATTGCCAGCGGACACTCTCCTCCGCAGAGGCTTTGTAGTTTGTTTTCTTTCT